AATAATAGAAAAACCAAAAACAAGTTGTGGCGCCTCTTAAGCCTTTTGGACAAGAGTCCCACCAATAAACCAGAGCTCCGCTCCATACAAACAAAAAAATTGCTAACTAACCTGGCAGGTTAACAATCTCAGGAGCTGTTACACACTAGGCACACGTACACTACACACTCATACAGTGTAAACCAACCATTACCAGCAGAGATTTGAATTAAAGAGATTTTAATATTAATAGATATAAACAATCTTATTTGGTCTCTTTAATAAATAACACTCTCACAGTATCTACTCTTCCCGTTATTGAGATACTAGTCCATAAACAATCACAAATACCTTGGGGTAAGTATATCACAAACTGCATAATGTATTTTAAATAGCCGTCCAGTAAATACCGGCGACTCAATCAAGAAATAATACCGACAAAAAAAGAAGAAGAAGGAAAGTATCAGTGGTGCTTTTGAGAAATGATATATATATATATTATTTTTAGACAGTTAGTGAGTCTTAGCTATATACTTTACATATATCAAAATTTAAAACCCTTAATTGGTTTGCTCGAATGGAATGAGTTTGCACAAACTGTTTCTGTGTATGTACCTTGAACCTGAATAAAATTACTCAAGGGGGTTAATCATGATTCTTTGTTTTATATCTTGATTTTGGGAACTTGAGACGGCGGGTGTATTTGGTGACCATCGCCATTTGGAAGAGAAAAGCAGCGATATTAGGAGATTGAAAGTGGTAGAAGGAGAGAGAAAAATAAAAAAGTAAATAGTTGGCAGTAGGAGAGGTCAGTAATCCGACTCTAGACACTACACAGCTGAAAAGCTCTTCCTAATAGCAAAGTCTTATTAGTCACTTTCCCCCACTCAAGTACTCTGGTGCAGACACGTGTATTCAAGATTGCAAATGATTGGCTCATGTCAAAATTAAAAAAAAGGATGGCGTTACAAAGTGTGTGGCCCAAAGGCTATAGCTTGCGCCTTAAAAAAAGAACGCGTCTCAAAATGTGTGGCCCAAAGATTATAACGCGTTTAAAAAAAAGAAACACTCTCACGGTATTATTTTTCTTTGCGCTTTTTCATCAGCTTACAATCATGTACAGCCAGTCAAGCAACCCTAGCAGCAGCAGCAGCAGCAGCAGCAGCAGCAGCAGCAACAACAATAACAACAACAACAACAACAACAACAACAACAACAACAATAACAGAAAATGCAGCAGAAAATGCAGCAGCAACTGCAACTGCATTAGAAAGTCTAGCAACAGCTCTCTTGTGTTTGGTCGAAAGGCCATTAGCAAGCCGGTCCCGAAGCCGCTTAGGGATAGGATGTTAGCTAAGCTAACAAGACTTAACCCAGACGAACTGATTGGCACGATCATTGATCGAAAGATCAATAGTGCTATGATGATTGGTAAGTCATGTCTCTATATAATAAGAGAAAAACAATCTAATATTAATCAATAATATCTCTATGTTACCAGATCTCCCCAGGGGAGTAAAACGTCAGCTGGAAGAGGAGCGTTTCGTTCCTCAAGGGCTGGAAGAAGACGGTTCATGGCCAGACCTGGATCGTCTTCTAAAGAAGAAGAAGATCTGGCATGAGAGTAAGCTGGAGCGAAAAGCGACAGCTTACCTACTCAAAAGAGAAGTGAGAGAAGTTGGAGAAGTAGAAGAGAGACTAGTCGGAGAAGAAGAAGAAGAAGAAGAAGAAAAAGATGAAGAAGAAGAAAAAGAAAAAGATGAAGAAGAAGAAGAAGAAAAAGAAGAAGAAGAAGAAGAAGAAAAAGAAGAAGAAGAAGAAGAAAGAGAAGAAGAAGAAGAAGAAAGAGAAGAAGAAGAAGAAGAAGAAAGAGAAGAAGAAAGCGAGGAGTTCTTTGATGCAGAAGAAGAACTTCTCGACGAAGCAGAAGAAGATTCCGGCTACGACGCCGATGACGAGTACGAAGCTGAAACAGCACACCAACAGCCACAACCACCCACCCAACCTGAAAAGGTTGGGAATAGAAATACAAAATGGCTGACAGTTGCCGGTGTGATTGCAACATCTGTAGTCCGGGGATTACTCTTCTGATGGTAACAAGAAGAGTAATCTCCGGGTACCCCGGAAGAAGCAACAAGAAGCAGCAGACTAACAGACTAACATACTAACAAGCAACAGACACTAACAAGCAACGGGAACTAACAAGCAACGGGAACTAACCTTACTCACAACTAACTACAAACAATTAACTTTTTGAACAACTAACATTATGAACAACTAACATTACTAACAACTAACTTTACTAGCAAAATCCGGATCAGAGTCATAGCTAGTGTTAGAATTAGAGTCATAGCTAGTGTTAGAATTAGAGTCATAGCTAGTGTTAGAATAAGAGTCATAGCGAGTGTTAGAATTAGAGTCATAGCTAGTGTTAGAATAAGAGTCATAGCTAGTGTTAGAATAAGAGTCATAGCTAGTGTTAGAATAAGAGTCATAGCTAGTGTTAGAATAAGAGTCATAGCTAGTGTTAGAATAAGAGTCATAGCTAGTGTTAGAATTAGAGTCATAGCTAGTGTTAGAATTAGAGTCATAGCTAGTGTTAGAATAAGAGTCATAGCTAGTGTTAGAATAAGAGTCATAGCTAGTGTTAGAATAAGAGTCATAGCTAGTGTTAGAATAAGAGTCATAGCTAGTGTTAGAATAAGAGTCATAGCTAGTGTTAGAATAAGAGTCATAGCTAGTGTTAGAATAAGAGTCATAGCTAGTGTTAGAATAAGAGTCATAGCTAGTGTTAGAATAAGAGTCATAGCTAGTGTTAGAATAAGAGTCATAGCTAGTGTTAGAATTAGAGTCATAGCTAGTGTTAGAATAAGAGTCATAGCTAGTGTTAGAATTAGAGCCATAGCTAGTGTTAGAATAAGAGTCATAGCTAGTGTTAGAATTAGAGTCATAGCTAGTGTTAGAATTAGAGTCATAGCTAGTGTTAGAATTAGAGCCATAGCTAGTGTTAGAATAAGAGTCATAGCTAGTGTTAGAATAAGAGTTATAGCTAGAGTTAGAATTAGTTATAATCATAGTAAAAAAAAATCAACTCTTATATATTTTAACCAAAATGTGTTATTATATATATTAGGAGCTTTGCTCCCCCCTCCCCTCGGGGGAAGGGGTCATTGGCCTATGAAGTTTTATATAACTTTTCTCTACTGTCAATTGTGTACGGCACACAATTACCAAGTAGTATAGGCTTCATATTTTATTTTATTGAGAAACAAGTAAGTTAGATAATACGTGACAAAATTTATAAGTTGTATGACATGATCTCTAACTTCATCCTGTTTTTTCTAATCAGACTAGGAGCTTTGCTCCCCCCTTCCTCTCAGAGGGTGACCCCATTGGCCTATGTTAAGTTCTATATGACTTTTCCTTACTGTTAATTGTGTGCCGTACACAATTACCAAGTAGTATAGGCCTTATATTTTATTTTATTGAGAAACAAGTAAGTTAGGGAATACGTGGCGAAAGTTATAAGTTGCATGACATGATCTCTAACTCCATCCTGTTTTTTTCTAATTAGATAAAATAAAATGAATTCTGGGAACATGACTTTTAGCTAAAAGTCTAAATACAGGATAAAAGTCGAGATAAAAGCGACTGCTGGAGACGCTATTATATTTATATTGCTTATTTTTTATCATTATTATTACTATTATTATTACAAAACCAAATAAAAAAGAAACCTCCCTAAAAGTCTGTGAGAGGCCGTAGCCCAAAAGCATAACATGTGAAGATTGTACAAAAGAATCCATGTACATCCGACAATCATCTGAGATTAGCATTAAAGAATATTATCATTTGTAAAGCGAACAGTAACAGACTTTCTCTCTCTCTCTCTCTCTCTCTTTTTAAGTCATTCGGTGGTATGCTCAGGCATTATAGCTTTCAAACTAAGTTTGACTGAAAGATGGTAACAACGCCCGTTACAATGGGGTCGAAACTCATGTTAATTGAGTAGATGACCAGTTTAGAAACCTAGTTTAGTTTGATGACTCAAGATTCACAATGTGGTACGTAACAATGTTATTGTCTGAGTGCTAAGAAAAAAGAAATTGATAATAGGTGTACGTACATTGACGATATCTCATTACTATTGCTTCTTTGTTTTGTATCGTATTTCACAATAATGAAATTGACTTGCTCGGCTATTGGATTATACTCCATAGTAATGAATCTACGACAGACCAATAAAGCAAAATAAAGAGTGAACTTAATATGCTAATATAATGATGATGATTTTACAGTGAGCTAGTAAAAGGGTGTATGAGAGAGAAGAAGAAGACATATAGTCTGGCTAGATATATTGAGCCTTTTTTTTAAATCTCTATCAGATCCAAAAACACTATGAGAAAATAGTGGTTTTACTGTCGTTTTTTTTTTACCAAATATCCATTCCCCCCCCCCCCCCCCCCCCCCCATAGTGTGCTTAGTTACTGTGCTTTAGTAAAAAAAAATGAAAAACACCTTCACAGAGTATAGATATAATTATAGCTACAATATAGGGTAAGAGTGGTGGCAATAATGGTGATTTTGGAAAATGACTATGTTTTTCAAAATTACCACTGTGATTACCACTTCTTTCAAAATTTTATCTACCTTGACCAAAGTCAAATAACAAATTACGGTGAGACATACATCTTTCATATATATATATATAAACCTTATAATAAAGACAATATTCATCAACACCAAGCGAATCTTTTGTATTATACATATTATCTAAATCTACTGTCTATTTCATATATCTCATATAAATCCCGCTCCAAGTCTGGGTCCCCCTCAAAAAAAAAATTGACCCGTTAATGTATAAAAATTTAATTTTCTTACCAATAAATTTAAAATAACAAAAATAATAAAAATAAATAAAAACAATGATTGATAACCTTTGGCAGACACTTTCTTCAAAATAAAAAGAAAATAATTCCTACCACTCTCTCCATATCTCTTTTATTTTTCTTTCTCCTTCAATGAACAGCTTACTTCGAGGTCGTCTGTTTTCCACAAGCATTGGTAGAATGTGCTACAAATACCATGCCAGACCTCTTCATCCTTCCATCGTTCCTGGCCAACCTGAGAAAAATCCGTCTCTACCTTTACCTTTACTCATGAGCCAACCCTTTCTGGCCATGAACCCAACTGTAGCCTCAGAAGTGGCTCTACCTTCAGTACTAGCTGCGAACCAGACTATTCTCGACACAATCCATGGCGCGGGGTTGCCCTGGTGGGCCACGATTGTTGTGGCCACGATTACACTTCGAACCAGCATGACATTACCAATTGCTATTTATCAACAACGCAGCATGAGTAAGATGATTGAACTGGCACCAATGGTCCAAAGTTGGGCAGAAACTCTCAAGGTTTCTGTGGCCAGAGAATCTAGAGAACTTGGATATGAAAAATATGCACAAGAACTCAATAAACAGGTAATATATATGCATTTATAACCTTTTACATTAACTATATATATATTAATTTTCTTTTTCTACCTATATATAATATATTTATATAGTATCGAAAAAAGGTTAATTATTTGTACGCGCATCACGGATGTGCTCGATGGAAAGTGTTTTTACTTCCTTGGGTTCAGCTTCCTTTGTTTGCCTCCATGTCTTTGACCCTCCGTCATATGTCTGGGCTGCCTTTACCTTGGTGGGGTCAACTTACGGAGGGTCCTATTCAGGGACTTGATTCTGGTGGTCTGTCGTGGTTCGTGGATTTAACTATCCCTGACCCGACCTGGGTGTTTCCGGTCCTTATTGGCGCTGGAAATCTTCTAAATGTAGAGGTAAAATTTTGATTGATTTTATTGACTTTATTGAATGGTTTCTTGGTTAGTTAGTTAGTTAAGTTAGTCAGTTAGACGGTTGGCTGATTAAGTGAATAGCTGGATTAGCAGGTTAGCTGGATAGGTGAGTAGCTCTAAAATTGCGTGATTCAGTAGCTTAATTAGTTAGTTAGTTAGTTAGTTAGTTAGTTATTTGACATTGGTGTTTAGTTAAATGCATGGTATGCAAGAGGAACTGCCACACGCACACAAAAGATTATGACAAATGTACTTCGGTGTGTTTCTGTGGCCTTTGTGCCCATTGCTGCCCATGTTCCAATGGCTCTTGGGGTGTATTGGTTCTCTTCAAGCTGGTACAGTGTTGTTCAAAACCTTACTTTCCGAATTCCTTCTGTACGCCACAAGCTTGGGTTCCCAATCCTTCAAAAGCGCAAATAATCAAACCAATTCTCCAAATATAAACAAACGTATATTTTCCCTCTCTCTCTCTTTAAAATAGAAGAAGAAATATTGATTAATAGTATTACTATCATAACTCATTATTCTTATCATTTAGTATTTAGTATTTAGTACAAGTTGTTATCCTCCGTTGTTCAATATTATTATTATTAATATATTAAAATTAAATTAAAATAAAATAAAATAAAATATATAGAATATGTTCAAGCTTCGGCTGGCTGAACCTTTCGTACCATGGCTTGTAAAATCCCTTCATTTCCAATGTGACAAGCATCGTTATATTGTGGATCCTTTTCAGTCACAGGGACCACAAGAGTAGAGTCGTCCAGATGAGTGCCGAGGTGCATCCACTGGATGTTATACGAATGGTCAACGTGTTCTAGTAATAGTTTCCGCAGCCCGCCAACGGTGATGTAAGGAGGTTTGTCAGGAACCTCGAGAGTGATGTCACCCGCACTAGTTGACAGCCGAACACGAATCTTCCAATCGGAACGGGGTCGGTAGTATTCCATGATAGCTTCGTTGGGTAGATCGTTGTATAGGTTTTCGCTAATAAGCGGTGAAGCCATGTCCTGCGGCTGGCATGGCGAAACTACTGCCGATTGGGATTCTTTGGATAAAGTTGGCGACGGTTGGGACTGTGGAAGTGGAGGTGAAGGTAAGACAGAGGTTGTCGGGCTATTCGACAGGGATTGGGGTCTCGATCGTGATTGTGGCGAAGGCTGTGGCGAACCCCGTGATGACAGTTGTGGCTGCAGTGAGGGCGATGGTTGTGGCGATACTTCTGGTAGCGGCGACAGGCGTGGTGACCTTTGTAGCAACTGTTGTGGTGCCCGTTGCGGTGACCGTTGTGGTGACCGTTGTGGTGACAACTGTGGCGACAACTGTGGTTGAGTTAGAACATGTGATTCTGTTTGTACTTTTGTCTGTTGTTGGTGATGTGGTGGTAATTCTACGCTGCCCTTTCTGTGGTATTCTTATCAATAAAAGAAAATGGTTTGTGTAATTAGGGCCTGTTTAATAAAGAATCCTTTTATTGCTTTATTACCTTGGATAGGCGAGGAGACCTGAGCTGGACGAGAGGAGCAGCAACCCATTCTTCTTCTGTTTCTTTCTTCTTCTTCTGTTTCTTTCTTCTTCTTCTTTTTTGTTACAAAAAAGAAAGTGAAATAGAGTCAGAATTAGGAAGGAAAAAGGGAAGAAAGAAAAAGACGAGGTGTGATAAAAGTAGAATTTTTGAATACCTTTAATCTTCCATTCTTCAAATAATAGATTGTCGGCGTATATTTCTAAAAAGCCATTCACAGATCAATACAAAGATGGGGACTTTTTATTTCATTTTATTTCTTTAAGCATTCACAGATAAGGCCGATAGATAGTTTTGCTTTCAATTCACTCACTACGCTAAATACTAAGCACTAAGTATGATATATTGTATTACATCATGTATATTAAGCATTAGACATTACATATTAACCTTTCTATCACCGTCAGTCTGGACAAGCATATCATCCACATACTGTCTCAAAAGTAAGTCTATTGATATCAAAAGTCCTTATCTGCTGATTCGAGCCAAGTTAGTGGTAATCAAGTCTGACATACCATAGATCTCATCGTCCGTCGAATACTCAATCTGATACTGCGAAGGAGTGTCTGGAAAGATGGATTATACTATCCTAGTAAGCGATAGCAATTTTACACTGAGTGCATTCCGTTCAAGTTTCATAAGCCAGCCACAGAATCTTCGTGGCGTGTCTCAATAGTGGTGTCATGAAACCAAAGCATAAAAGGAGTGGGTAAGACGGAAGGTGAAATAGGAACGGCGATCACTTTGTGAGGGATCGACAGTTGATGCGCCATGATTGTATTGATGATACAGCTTGGTGGCAAAATTTTCGATATCATTTGTTATTCTGAATATCCCCGTTACCCTGTGCTACCAATTCTGATGCTAATAATGATTATTAATGCTATTATTAGTGGTAGTGGTAGCATAATTGAGAGCTTGGAAGTGATAAAAGTTTTTGTGGCCATACATATACCCTGAAATTACACTACTTTGTTTGATTGGGATTGTTACATAGCTTTCAATGCACTCTGAGGGGAAAGTCTTTGCTGATAGATTAGCGTGACCAACTATGTAGACTATAAATCGTTTTTTTGTTTGACCTTTATGTACATATATATATATATATGTATGATTAAGTTTCTATTCACTCCTGGTACTGTTGGCCAGGATCATTCTTGACGCGACAATCCTGGGCGTGTGAGTTTTAAGAAAAGAAGTAAGACTGGTCGAGAGACAAGACTCGGGTCTTTGGCACAATATCAGTGGTAAAGTAACCGCCGATACGAAAAAGGCTTTTTGCTGATATTTTTTTAATAAATTCTTCCTCAGAGTAGACTGTATAGCTTCCAAGGTTTGAATGTTTTCTTGTTTTGCTTTTGTCTTTGTGTGCTGTATGTTAATCCACCAAGTAGATGATTATGAGAATAAATGCAACTTTTATCTATTTCCCTTTTTATTTCATTTTAGTATATAGTATAGTGGTTTATTGCTACAGGCTTTTAACATGATACTGAGACTGTACTGCATAGAAGTTTGCGAATCGTGATTTTATTTTTTGCGGGCTTTTTTTTTATTATTATTATTGGTATTTTACGGATCGTGATTTTATTTTTCATGAATATTTAAATATACACAAGGTACACCCTTTTTTTTATAGTTGACAATTTGTTTCATCAAACCTTCTGGTGTATTTTTTTACCACACTCCATCCTTATTTTGGCAGACGATACTGGATCCTTATTGGAAAATTAATCAGTTTCTGTGTGTGTATATAGAATCCACAAGGTGCTATTTGCACCTCTACTGATATTTGTAACTAAGCAACTAAACCTATTCTAGAATTTTCGTTCAAGACTATTCATCGAATATTATCATTTATTACTATAGCAATAAAAGGACAGGCCCTTTACATAAATACATATATATATATATATATATATATATATATATATCCGGTTATATACTCATTAGATATTATATGGTCTCTTTATTAAGACAAATGACATTTATACTCGGGTTCGTATACATCTCTATACCCTAATATTCATCCGTTTCGTCCGTCCAAAGATTGATCTTGGATCCTATCCCAAAAAGAAAAATGTTTCAAGTCTATGTCACACAGGATACTGAATATACAGTCAATATTTAAACACTGAGGCCAAAAAGGTGAAAGGAATGGAGATTTGAAACCCTTAGATCCAATCTTCAGCTTTGAGAAACAAGTTGTCTAATTCAGTGTATTTAGATAGTTCTCTTCTTTCCTTATTCTGCAGTCACTTAGTTGCTCCTTCTCATTTTCACCCCTTTTCTCACTTTCTTCACTCGTATATCCCATATTACCGAATTACCGGATTTTCATTTCCTTCCCTTCCTTCCTTTTATATTATTGGATCACATTCACTAGCACATATCCTTATCATCCTCCTCCCCTTATACACACCTCTTCTTTCTATTAAAAGCATCTTATATTTTATACTTTGTAAATATTTATCGTATGAAAGCACAACTACAAATGCTTTTTGTACATTTATCTTGTCAGCAGCTTGGTTCTCCCTTTCACTCTATCATTATGCCACTTTATAGTCTTTTCCCTATATATTGTTCTTATCAAGTAACTATACTAATTAGTTTTACCCTTATTATATATGTTAAATCCAAATATTATATTTTGATAAATATATCCATATTTAGACTTTAAAGGACTCTAACGTCTTATACATGCACAACGCTCAAAAAAGAAGAAAAGATGAAAAAGCATTAGTCTCTGAATTTGTGTTTAGTGATTGGGAATAGTCATGGTTATTACTACTGCTGTCATCACTATTGATAGTAGCATGTATATTTTGGTAAGTGATAACATGCAAAAGAAAGAACAATACAGACTAAAAGTAACAGTATCAACAACCTAATCTAAAGTTATATATATATAGCACTTTAGTAATAAAGAATTGAATACTTGTATACCGTCTCCGTAGCTTTGGCCAAGTAAAGAATATATAGATTAATGCAAAACTTATTATAGAAATGTCCCTGAATTCCTGTCTTTTTAGCTTTATCGGTCTATACATGCTTGGGTTAGATTTTTTTAAGAAACTAAGGCCTGGAATCTTTAGATAATACCATGAGCACTCTGAAAAAATACTTTAAAGTCGACATTAAATATAACTTTTTTTAGCAAGCTTTCTGTTTAAAATTTGTTCATAATCCTGGCATATATTAGCACAGTATCAAGTCCTTTTACTTGAATTAGGGAAACAGAAAACGTAAAGGGGCGTTTTAGAGAGGTCTCATGTCCGAGAGAAAATTGTCGGCTTTGAGCAATCACCAATTCTAGAAAAATATTGTGCCCAATAGGAAATAGTTTTAATCGAGTAAATATCTGTTCCAAGTTGGTGGAGATAAAGTTCTTGAGATAGAAGCGTTGTGTTTAAATAATTATTAGCACTGCTATTATTATTATTATTATTATTATTGTTGTTGTTGCTGTTGTTCGCTTTTTATAGGTCTTTTTGTATCTTTTCTTTTGGTTCCTTTTTTTTTCTTATTATTGGTGTTGCTTACCAGAGGAAAATAGTTAAATCAAAATAAGGAGTGTGAGAACGGAACTTATGGCTGTCAAGTATCTAAGAGTGAAGAGGATGTATTCTTCCAAACCAAAAGAGGGTGGTCAAGTATGGACAGAAGCAGTAAATTAAAGGGTACAATTAAGATTTAATAGAAAAATTGTTCCCGATTGACAGACAATACAAATATTCTAAAAAAGTACAAAAATGGGTGAAGGTAGCAGTGAGTCAAGCCAAGTGACTTTGGAGATAAAGAATTTTTTAAAGATATAAGGAAGAAAGAGAATAATGATCGATGTAACTTTTATTAATTAATGTTAACGAAATTGTTTTCTACCCAAAAAGAAAAAGACTGCTAAGAAAAGTAATGGCAAATGGGTGCCTAATTTCTGCACAGCCTGCTACTTTCTATGACCATAATGGAGGCTTTGAAAAGGCTAATGATCGAGCCACAGAAGATCCAGATTATTATGCTGCCCTTTTCGTTACTTAATCGCCCATAGGACCATATGCTTTTTTGCAGATATCAGATTAATTTTTTTGTCTGATAGCTCGGGTACGCTCCTCGTTATCTCCCACTGTGAATCTCTTTTTAACAAAATCAAGACAGTAGAAAAACGTAAAAATAAAACAGCAGCCAAACGTATTATTATTATAGACAAAGTTAATGCCACACTGTGAGCTGGCTATATAGTGAAGTTATAAGTTCAGCGACAAGAAAATGAATATCGGTAGAAGAACAGTCTTAAGAAAGAACAAATTAAAGAGAGCTAGTAAACTACTTTGGGTCATTTTTACAGACACACCACCACTTCAAAGCTGATTTCAGTGAGCGATACCAAAACCAAACCCCGCCATGCCATAGTGAACTGAATGAACCACTTGACAAATCCCGAGAGCAGAAATTTGGGACAAAGTGTGAATTTGCCCATCAAATTAAGTGTACACTTTTGACCAATTTACTATGTTATCGGGATATCGGGCTATCGTGATTCAGGATTATATTTTTGAATGAATGCCTCATTAGAAAATACACCTTGTCTACCTTACCAAGGAACACAAGTATAATAAGACAGCTCTCAAGTGTAATATAGTAGTACCAAAAACATTATTAATAATATTTTTTAAAGACAAATGTAAGATCAAAATCAAAAAGAGACAAAAACATAAAGATAGTATCAAAGTCAAATGAGATCAAAATTTATTGTTCAAAGATTTTTAAAAGGGGAATATAAGTTAAGTTAAATTAAATTAAGTGTACTAAGATATTCCAGGCCATGCTAGTCCAGTCGAGTCCAGTCGGTTCCAGTCAAGTCCAGTCGGTTTTTTTTTGGTCCATTTGATTTTTCTTTTGATCTTTTTTTTTGTCCGTTTTTTTTTTCTTTTTTTTTTGTCCAGTCAATATAAGCAAAGAGTGATAGGAGGAGGAGGATTTTGGTGTTGAAAAATAATAAAGGGGATAATTTGGACTTTTTGTTTTTTTTCTTGTTTTTTTGATTCTTTTTTTGATTCTTTTTTTTTGTCCAGTCAATTTCACGGAATAGTAATAAGAGGATGATTTTGATATTGAAAAGAATAAAAAAGATAATTTGGACTTTTGTTTTTTTTTTTTGCTTTTTTTTTGTCCAAACACAGCACACATAATAAAGGGAATAATTTGGACTTTTTGATTTTTTTTTTGTCCGAACACAGCACACATAGTAAAGGGGATAATTTGGACTTTTTGATTTTGATTTTTGATTTTGATTTTTTTTTTTGATTTTTTTTTACTTCTTTTTTTTTGTCCAGTCAATTTCACATAATAGTAATAAGAGAAGGGGGTTTTGGTATTGCTCTTTTTGCTCTTTCTGTTTTTTTTTGAGCTTCTTTTTTTGAGCATTTTTTTTTTGTTTTTTGTTTTTGATCAAAGACTTCATTTGCTTTGTATGTATATATGTAAAAAGGGATTTCATACCTTGTCCTGATCCAGAGTCTTGTTCCAGTTCGCAGCTTTGCTTCAATCCAGGTCCAGGTTCCAATGCAGTGTTCTTCCGGTTTGTTCATCTTTTTTTTTTTTTGCTTTTTTTTTTTGCTTTTTTTGTTTGCTTTTTTTGGTTTTTTTTTTTTTTTTTTTTGCTTTTTTTGTTTTGTTTTTTTTTTTGCTTTTTTTTTTTTTTTTTTTTTTTTTTGAGAGAGAGGAGGGCTTAGTATATGCCTGTGTAATTTTTGGACAGGACTTAGTATAGGCCTCAGGGTCGGATTTCTTTTGATCCTTTTGGAGTGGAGGACTTAATGTGCCTGATCATTTCTGATAGGTTTTGGTCTACGCCTCGGTTTTTGGATTTGATCCTTTAGGAGTGGAGGACTTAGTATATGCCTCGAGTTCGGATTTCTTTTGATCCTTTTGGAGAGGAGGACTTAGTATATGCCCGTTTTTTTTACAGGACTTAGTATAGGCCTCGGATTTGGTTTTTGGTTTTTGGTTTTTCTTTTGGAACTTGCTTTTGGAACTTTGCATTGGACCCCTTCTTGGAAATCGACTTGGCCTGGAGACTTGGAGGTACAACCCAGATTTTGGACTTTGATAGAAATGCGCCTCTACTTTTGTATGTATATATGTATGTATATAAGTGTGTATATGTATGTTTGTATGTCTATGACTATGACTATGACTATGTGTATGTGTATGTGTGTGTGTGTATGTGTGTGTGTGTGTGTGTGTGTGTGTGTGTGTGTGTAAGAAATAAATAGAAAAATAGAAATTGTGTGTGTTTGTGTGTGTGTGTGTGTATTTGTCTACTTCTCTAATTGTGTACTTCTCTATTTGTTTGTATATGTTTGTGTGCTAGGACTAGTACTAGAACAGTACTTGGACAGTGTTTGGACATTTGGACATTTGGACTTGGAAAAGACTTGGAATTGGACTTGGACTTGGACTTGGACATAGCAATGTACCTTGGCTTGACTATTTTGGAGATTGTACTAGTGACTATGGGGCTTGATCTGAGATAGAGAGATAATTGTAAGCATATTTTTTCTCTGGTAAATATTGTTCTGGTTGTTTTTTTTTCTGCTTTTTCTTTTTTTTGTATCTTTTTTTTTTTCTTTTCATTTTCTTTTTATATTTTTTTTCTTTGTACTTCTTTTCTTTTTTGACTATCTATCTTGATTTGGCTTTGAATCTTGACAGTGACCTTGAGGGTCTCTGAAAAGCCTTTTTTTCTCTTGCGCGCATTTGGAGCCTGTATTGTAGCAATACAAAGAACAATTAGTCTATGTCTTGATATATTTCACCCTTTTCCCCGACACTTACATTAGCCTTTCTTGTAGGCCGGATTGATGTTTGCTCTGGCGCCTACTTTGGCCTTTCTTGTGGGCTGGTTTGCCCTTTTCTTCTGGCACATACTTTGGCCTTTCTTGTGGGGCTGGTTTGCCCTTTTCTTCTGGCACATACTTTGGCCTTTCTTGTGGGGCTGGTTTGCCCTTTTCTTCTGGCACATACTTTGGCCTTTCTTGTGGGCTGGTTTGCCCTTTCTCTGGTGCGCACTTGGAGCCTGCATTGTAACAATACAAAAACAATTAGATTATGTCTTGAGATAGTTTGGTCCTTTTCCCGACACTTACACTGGCCTGTCTTGTGGGCCGGATTGGTCTTTGCTCTGGCGCATACTTTGGCCTCTCTTATGGGCTGATGTGGCCTTTTTGCAGGCGCCCATGTTGGGCTTCTGGTGAGCCTTATCGGCTTTCGACGAGGTGTCTTGAGGACACAACATAGCCGACAATTTTGCGGCAGAAATGGAACCATCGGGTTCCCCGGCAGAAGCAACAGGAAGCAACAGGAAGCAAATGTCCGACCAGTGGGATAAATGTCTCCTACCAGTGAGATAAATGGACCCGCCAGTGGAAGTAAAACAGGCGGCTGGCAACTGGCAACCGGCAACCGGCAACCGACGGCTATATGAAAAGGTCCACTGGCGAGAGATAACAGGTCCACTGGTAGGAGGAAAGGGCCTACCAGTGGGAAGCAACAAACCCACTGGCAGAAAAGTCCCACTGGCGGAAGCAACAGACTAACAAAAAAAGCAACAAGCAACAGTACCTTTCATATAACATGGACCGCCGTGGAAGGCATCGGGAAGGAACAAGCAACGGGAGGGAACAAGCAACGGGAACTAACCCAAAAAAGATGGTACCAGCCGCGCCCACCAGAAGAGACGACAGAAAGCAACCAGTAATACACAGGAATACGGACAACGGGCTCACACGCTACACGCGCGCTTGTGGACTTGCTCGATAGACCATGTTTGACCCGTGGATCTACTCCATCGGGCCCCTTTAAAAGAAAGAAAGAAAAAGAGAGAGCGGTCGGTCGTAAGAGTCCAAAATCGGCTCAACAAGCTTAACAAAATAATATTGCCAAGGCTTTATGAACATCTTTTGAACTCTTACAGTCGCCTACTCCATAGGCTTTGATTAATTAGTATTCAAAGTTGCATAGCACATAACGTAAAAAAATCATATACTTATCTTAAAGTGATCTGGCTAGCCGTTCATAAGAAAAGAATCATGGCTATCGGAAGACCCTCTTGGCTTCTGTGTATAAACGATGACCGGCCGGACATAAACCCATATATTACCAGAAGCTCTCCATCGTCTCCACCAGTAGACACGGCCAGTACAAAGAAAAAGAGAAAAAAGGAAACCCAAAAGACGCGAAAATTTTTCTCTAGTTATAAAAACAAAAATGGGGAGATGATGACGCCTCCCTCACTTTAGTCCAATAAAATTCATTGAAAGTATACATCAATCAAAAGATTGGGGGAGATAGGGGGAGGAGGATGGATGGATGCATCCTGTGTGGTGTTGGTCACGTTGATCATTTGTTTTTGTCACTACAAATACTTTTCAGAGAAAGTACCTGATTATAATATTGTATATACACAAGCTAAAAAATGAAAACAGAAAGCCTTTTTAAAATATAGCACTGGTCTTGCTTTCCAACTCTTACACTCAGTACCTATATGCTTACTTTTTGCAGTGCTATGTTGTAGTATCCTTTAAATGTATCTACTGTTTCATAAAGGCCAGGCCTTGAAAGGCGTTTTCGGAAAAATTAAGACCGTCCTGATATAAAAGATAAGGGGGGGAGTCATGCAAATAAACAGGCTAAGTACAAACAAGGAAACCAAATATATATACATTTATACAGGTATGTATCACACGTTTCATATTTTCTCTCACCCTATTTGCTTCCTTTCAAAGGTTACCAAGTTACTTATGAAGTTAATAAAGCAAGCACACCAAGACAAGAGGTGTTTGGTAAAGAATACAAAACATACAAGACATAAAAAATGGCTATAGTTATTTGGCTTATTATTTTTAAAAAAAATTGAATAATTTTGATAGTGTGCTTCTGTTAATCAAACAAGTCTAAGAGTACGCCTAATCGTAGCACTTTCACGTGAATTGATAAATCCCTTTATAAAAAATATATTTTTCTTAAGTTAAAGAGTGCTTTATACTGCTACTCTCGAATCGACTCTTTTACATATTCAGTATATAAAGTCTCTCTATATCTCTTACTAGGCTTCTTTTATTTACCCTATATGTATTAGATTAATGTACTCTAAGCAATAGGCAGCACTATAGATTGTGTATTGAATAATGCAATTTATTTTTGTAATAAAAATAAAGAGATAAATATGCACTTTTAATAACAATATATATCATACATATAGTATGACAATATTATCTGAAATCCTCAAGCCTCTTATAACTTACAAAATAAAGTCTAAAGGCTACTGCTTTAATATATTATGCCTTTTGCAAATGTAATTTTAAGCAGACACGAAAGTAATTTTTATTTTGTGCATGTATAAAAGGCAAGTGGTCATCTTTTGTTTATTTATTTTTAAAGAAAAGAGGTTGGATATAAAATTGAACAATGCTTTTGCGACAACACTTCATAGTTTTCTGCTAACAATATATGTTATTTGTAAATATTGTATTAATACTGGTGATTCTAAATGTTACTAGCCGTGTCTTACGTGAATAAAAATGTTGTGACAATGAGCTTTAGTCTTTCGGATTTTAAGCTTGCAGATACTTGGGAGTTATATTACTATCGACTTACAGCTTTTATTTGAATACTTTAAAGCATGTTTTTTTAATATATAAAGAAACATCACTGTTTGTGTTCCGAAGTCAATCATATTTTTTTTTGCTTTGCAAGCTGTAACCGTATATAGAAGTATTTTGCATTTTACTCTTTTTGTAGAGTTGACAAATTATTAAAGTTTACAGAGTCTCTTTCTTGCCAAATTGCTATACAAAAACAAAGAATTGACAATCAAAAGTGAGGTGTTCGGGATTATTTATGGGCTAGTATCTCAATAATGGGAAAAGTAGATACTGTGAGAGTGTTATTTATTAAAGAGACAAAATAATATTGTTTACAACAGTTACTATTAAAATCCCTGTAATTCAAATCCCTGTTGTGTAATGGTTGGTTTACACTGTCTGAGTGTGTAGTGTACGTGTGTCTGGTGTATAACAGTTCCAGAGATTGTTAACTTACCAGGTCCATTAGCAAGAAGGAACCAGTGTTTGGTTGTGGAGTCTGTTCTTCACTCAATTGTGGTGTGTATATCACAACAAGAACCTATTTACTTATGCGACTATAATAATTAAAGGCTTTGATATTCACAATCAACTTGTGTAAAGTCCATGTTTGTGAGTCTCTATTATGGATTTACTGACTAGTCTATTAGCTTGGAATTTGATCTTATAAATAACACTCTTTTCAAAAATAAAAAAAAAAGCTTTTCATTGGATGCTATCCTCATTTCTGTGGGCTTGCAATATTCTACTCAGCTTATAGTTCTTTTAGCATTTCATAACCGGTTTTCTTTTTCTCGAAAGTCTATGGATCCCATATTGTACCCGATCTAGTACTCTTTTAAAGAGGTGCTCTACTCTTTATATGCTCTGACCAATAAAAGTCTTTCTTTTATTCTGAACGTTGCACACTTGTAGCAGGCTGAATACTGCTTACAATTATTTTGCTTATAAGTAAACTTTTCCTTTTTTTTGGGGGGGATTTCATAGAAGAAATTTATACTATTCATTCTAAAACCATTTAAATTTTATGTTTCGAGAAAAGTGAAGAGAATAAAGAAGATAGGATTTACGACTGTTTATATATGATGCTTTATTTCAAAAGAAGAGAAGAAAATTAATGCGATTCAATTTCTTTTACACAGTACCAGCTTCTGGTATCTATATGTTCTTGACATATGGTGGGTTGGTGATGTGGTGCAAATGTCCAACTCGGTGACAAGAAAATGAATACGGGTAGAAAGACAATTTTATTAAGGAACAAATAAAAAGAGCTATTTAACTACTTCGGGCTATTTCTACAGCTACGTCACTACTTCGAAGTTCATCGCGATGAGCGATACAAGAAACACCAGTGAATAAGATCCACCGTGTCATTCTCTAAATTATATTTCAGTATATTTCGAATAATTATTATTACTAAACATATTTAAGGAGTTTTATTTTGCTGAAAATATCTATGGGTACGTCGACACTCTAGTCATACCAGCTAGAGATTTTGAACAAGAAAGAGTATCTATACTATTGTTAATATCTGAATTTTTTGACTTAAGTACTCAGAAAATGTTTTTGATTCATAAGTAAACTAATGTGTAGTATTTAAATAAAGTATAACTATAGTAAGATAAATATGTAGCTGAGATAGCACTATATAGTATATGTACGATGTGTGATTCTGAATTACATATTATGATAAAATATATAGTAATAACAAACTACTTGTAAAATAATTTGTGTATTAGCAATTAGAGTGAAAGTAGATCTGTTTAACTGGAATTATTAATTGCACATTATTTCTTCGTTGGTCTTGATCTCAGGCTCAGCAGTAATCAATATTTATTTATAACGATGGTCAATTATTGCTTAAAATTTTGACTACAAAAAATAGTGTTGTTTATAAATATTATCTCCAGAGTCTTATCACTTTCTTCATATCTGCTTTGGTAACTTAATACAATATTTTCACTTTTAAACTCTTCAAATTGGCAACTCTTCATTTCGACCCCAATCACAAATTCGTACGCGCCAAAGATCTAGTCTCTTTTCTCTCTTCTCTTTGCTGCTATGATTATCCTTTATCGCACCCTACTGTAGACCTCATTCCAGACTTCTATGCTCTTGATCGTGCCACGTTGCGTGTATATTCACATTTTCGACTGGCCCAAACATATCCCATATCTCTAAATCTTTCTGTATCGATTATGTAAGCCAATTAATTAAGTCATGACCTTGGGAAGAACATGATTGTTACAACTGGTGCAGCAATCAATTGAAAAACATAAGAATTGTAACAATGAACCCCAACGATAACTATATATCTCTATTTCAATCTCTTATTTATTATTAATTATCCAAAGAAGCATAGTTTATCCCAACATCTTAGTAATAGCTTAGTAATATCTTACTAATTATACTATTTTATTTATTCTCAAAATAATTTTATAAACATCGAAAGATGAAAGCAATAAAGAACATCCTTACAAATCACTTCTATCTTCTTTTTATCTTTCTCGAGAGAACAAGCTGCCAATTGCCAATATTAGGGCTAAGGAGTTGTTAGAGGAGATTGATATATATTCCTTTTTTCTATTAATCGTTTGGGTCACTTTTTACACAAACCAACACAGCCCGTCTCAATCGTATTCATTCGGATTATTATACGTCTTTCCGTATTTTATCAGAGAAGCTTGCCTTTCTTCTTGTATTCACCGCTTCTCTGCATGTGTTATTTCTTGCTTATAATGATTTATCTTAATCTTATGTGCACCGCCATATCTTATTAGTAGATATAATAGTACCGAAAGTTCCGCTGGTTGTTAAGCCATCAGGTATATCACGTTATCTATTTACTAGCCTTTACATCTATGTACCCTGTAAGAAATTTTATTACTTTATAAAATTACCCTTATTTACATGTCAGATCCAGTTGGTCACTTTGTAACTGTGTTATACACACCACAGTTGAGTGAAATACAAACTCCACAATCCAGAACGGATACTACAATTGCTAATGAATCTGGCAGGGTCACATCTCAGGAATGTAACACGCACCAGGAACTCGTACACTTCACACTGCTTCAGTGATAATCAACCATTAACCTACGGAGATCTTAAATTAGGGAACCAGATGTCTGTATAAACAGCTATGATCTTCTTTCTTAAATAAACAACACTCTCACAGTATCTATTGTTCCCTTTTAAAATCTTATTCGTATACCTCAGTAACCACAAATAGAAATATAGTCACCCCATATATGCCAACAGCATCTCCAGCTAGCTGTCCCAACTCCTCTATCTGTTCACTTCAAAACGACCCACACCAACACTTTATTTAATTGGCTCTGGGTTGAACTTTCGTTGCTGTGCCTAATTGGAAAATATGGGAAAAATAAGAAACTGGCCCTACTTGGGCACATTTAAAAAACAATAATCACGGATAAGAACTACACTGGCCAATGCATCTTTCTTTGTGCTCCCAAATCAAGTCGATACTTTGTGGTAGTTATATTTTTCTTTCTCTCTTATTATTTACTCTTTATTGTATAATTTTTGTACTAGAGTTCCCAGGTATCTGCACGCGTGAGATCCAAGAGACTAATACTCATCGTCACAATGTTTTTACTCGAGTAAAATACAGCTAGTAATATTTATGAGCTAATATTGTTAGCAGAAAACTATGAAGTGTTGTCGCAAAAGCATTGTTCAATTTTATAACCAACCTCTTTTATTTAAGGAAGAATAAATAAAAGATGACCACTTGCCTTTTATACATGCACAAAATAAAAATTACTTTCGTGTCTGCTTAAAATTACATTTGCAAAAGGCATAATATATTAAAGCAGTAGCCTTTAGACTTTATTTTGTAAGTTATAAGAGGCTTGAGGATTTCAGATAATATTGTCATACTATATGTATGATATATATTGTTATTAAAAGTGCATATTTATCTCTTTATTTTTATTACAAAAATAAATTGCATTATTCAATACACAATCTATAGTGCTGCCTATTGCTTAGAGTACATTAATCTAATACATATAGGGTAAATAAAAGAAGCCTAGTAAGAGATATAGAGAGACTTTATATACTGAATATGTAAAAGAGTCGATTCGAGAGTAGCAGTATAAAGCACTCTTTAACTTAAGAAAAATATATTTTTTATAAAGGGATTTATCAATTCACGTGAAAGTGCTACGATTAGGCGTACTCTTAGACTTGTTTGATTAACAGAAGCACACTATCAAAATTATTCAATTTTTTTTAAAAATAATAAGCCAAATAACTATAGCCATTTTTTATGTCTTGTATGTTTTGTATTCTTTACCAAACACCTCTTGTCTTGGTGTGCTTGCTTTATTAACTTCATAAGTAACTTGGTAACCTTTGAAAGGAAGCAAATAGGGTGAGAGAAAATATGAAACGTGTGATACATACCTGTATAAATGTATATATATTTGGTTTCCTTGTTTGTACTTAGCCTGTTTATTTGCATGACTCCCCCCCTTATCTTTTATATCAGGACGGTCTTAATTTTTCCGAAAACGCCTTTCAAGGCCTGGCCTTTATGAAACAGTAGATACATTTAAAGGATACTACAACATAGCACTGCAAAAAGTAAGCATATAGGTACTGAGTGTAAGAGTTGGAAAGCAAGACCAGTGCTATATTTTAAAAAGGCTTTCTGTTTTCATTTTTTAGCTTGTGTATATACAATATTATAATCAGGTACTTTCTCTGAAAAGTATTTGTAGTGACAAAAACAAATGATCAACGTGACCAACACCACACAGGATGCATCCATCCATCCTCCTCCCCCTATCTCCCCCAATCTTTTGATTGATGTATACTTTCAATGAATTTTATTGGACTAAAGTGAGGGAGGCGTCATCATCTCCCCATTTTTGTTTTTATAACTAGAGAAAAATTTTCGCGTCTTTTGGGTTTCCTTTTTTCTCTTTTTCTTTGTACTGGCCGTGTCTACTGGTGGAGACGATGGAGAGCTTCTGGTAATATATGGGTTTATGTCCGGCCGGTCATCGTTTATACACAGAAGCCAAGAGGGTCTTCCGATAGCCATGATTCTTTTCTTATGAACGGCTAGCCAGATCACTTTAAGATAAGTATATGATTTTTTTACGTTATGTGCTATGCAACTTTGAATACTAATTAATCAAAGCCTATGGAGTAGGCGACTGTAAGAGTTCAAAAGATGTTCATAAAGCCTTGGCAATATTATTTTGTTAAGCTTGTTGAGCCGATTTTGGACTCTTACGACCGACCGCTCTCTCTTTTTCTTTCTTTCTTTTAAAGGGGCCCGATGGAGTAGATCCACGGGTCAAACATGGTCTATCGAGCAAGTCCACAAGCGCGCGTGTAGCGTGTGAGCCCGTTGTCCGTATTCCTGTGTATTACTGGTTGCTTTCTGTCGTCTCTTCTGGTGGGCGCGGCTGGTACCATCTTTTTTGGGTTAGTTCCCGTTGCTTGTTCCCTCCCGTTGCTTGTTCCTTCCCGATGCCTTCCACGGCGGTCCATGTTATATGAAAGGTACTGTTGCTTGTTGCTTTTTTTGTTAGTCTGTTGCTTCCGCCAGTGGGACTTTTCTGCCAGTGGGTTTGTTGCTTCCCACTGGTAGGCCCTTTCCTCCTACCAGTGGACCTGTTATCTCTCGCCAGTGGACCTTTTCATATAGCCGTCGGTTGCCGGTTGCCGGTTGCCAGTTGCCAGCCGCCTGTTTTACTTCCACTGGCGGGTCCATTTATCTCACTGGTAGGAGACATTTATCCCACTGGTCGGACATTTGCTTCCTGTTGCTTCCTGTTGCTTCTGCCGGGGAACCCGATGGTTCCATTTCTGCCGCAAAATTGTCGGCTATGTTGTGTCCTCAAGACACCTCGTCGAAAGCCGATAAGGCTCACCAGAAGCCCAACATGGGCGCCTGCAAAAAGGCCACATCAGCCCATAAGAGAGGCCAAAGTATGCGCCAGAGCAAAGACCAATCCGGCCCACAAGAGAGGCCAATGTAAGTGTCGGGAAAAGGACCAAACTATCTCAAGACATAATCTAATTGTTTTTGTATTGTTACAATGCAGGCTCCAAGTGCGCACCAGAGAAAGGGCAAACCAGCCCACAAGAAAGGCCAAAGTATGTGCCAGAAGAAAAGGGCAAACCAGCCCACAAGAAAGGCCAAAGTATGTGCCAGAAGAAAAGGGCAAACCGCCCCACAAGAAAGGCCAAAGTATGTGCCAGAAAAAAGGACAAACCGGTCCGCAAGAAAGGCCAAAGTAGGCGCCAGAGCAAACATCAATCCGGCCTACAAGAAAGGCTAATGTAAGTGTCGGGGAAAAGGGTGAAATATATCAAGACATAGACTAATTGTTCTTTGTATTGCTACAATACAGGCTCCAAATGCGCGCAAGAGAAAAAAAGGCTTTTCAGAGACCCTCAAGGTCACTGTCAAGATTCAAAGCCAAATCAAGATAGATAGTCAAAAAAGAAAAGAAGTACAAAGAAAAAAAATATAAAAAGAAAATGAAAAGAAAAAAAAAAGATACAAAAAAAGAAAAAGCAGAAAAAAAAACAACCAGAACAATATTTACCAGAGAAAAAATATGCTTACAATTATCTCTCTATCTCAGATCAAGCCCCATAGTCACTAGTACAATCTCCAAAATAGTCAAGCCAAGGTACATTGCTATGTCCAAGTCCAAGTCCAAGTCCAATTCCAAGTCTTTTCCAAGTCCAAATGTCCAAATGTCCAAACACTGTCCAAGTACTGTTCTAGTACTAGTCCTAGCACACAAACATATACAAAAAAATAGAGAAGTACACAATTAGAGAAGTAGACAAATACACACACACACACAAACACACACAATTTCTATTTTTCTATTTATTTCTTACACACACACACACACACACACACACACACACACACACACACACACACACACATACACACACACACATACACATACACATAGTCATAGTCATAGTCATAGACATACAAACATACATATACACACTTATATACATACATATATACATACAAAAGTAGAGGCGCATTTCTATCAAAGTCCAAAATCTGGGTTGTACCTCCAAGTCTCAAGGCCAAGTCGATTTCCAAGAAGGGGTCCAATGCAAAGTTCCAAAAGCAAGTTCCAAAAGAAAAACCAAAAACCAAAAACCAAATCCGAGGCCTATACTAAGTCCTGTAAAAAAAACGGGCATATACTAAGTCCTCCTCTCCAAAAGGATCAAAAGAAATCCGAACTCGAGGCATATACTAAGTCCTCCACTCCTAAAGGATCAAATCCAAAAACCGAGGCGTAGACCAAAACCTATCAGAAATGATCAGGCACATTAAGTCCTCCACTCCAAAAGGATCAAAAGAAATCCGACCCTGAGGCCTATACTAAGTCCTGTCCAAAAATTACACAGGCATATACTAAGCCCTCCTCTCTCTCAAAAAAAAAAAAAAAAAAAAAAGCAAAAAAAAAAACAAAACAAAAAAAGCAAAAAAAAAGCAAAAAAAAAAAACAAAAAAAGCAAACAAAAAAAGCAAAAAAAAAAAGCAAAAAAAAAAAAAAAGATGAACAAACCGGAAGAACACTGCATTGGAACCTGGACCTGGATTGAAGCAAAGCTGCGAACTGGAACAAGACTCTGGATCAGGACAAGGTATGAAATCCCTTTTTACATATATACATACAAAGCAAATGAAGTCTTTGATCAAAAACAAAAAACAAAAAAAAAATGCTCAAAAAAAAACAGAAAGAGCAAAAAGAGCAATACCAAAACCCCCTTCTCTTATTACTATTATGTGAAATTGACTGGACAAAAAAAAAGAAGTAAAAAAAAATCAAAAAAAAAATCAAAATCAAAAATCAAAATCAAAAAGTCCAAATTATCCCCTTTACTATGTGTGCTGTGTTCGGACAAAAAAAAATCAAAAAGTCCAAATTATTCCCTTTATTATGTGTGCTGTGTTTGGACAAAAAAAAAGCAAAAAAAAAAAAAACAAAAGTCCAAATTATCTTTTTTATTCTTTTCAATATCAAAATCATCCTCTTATTACTATTCCGTGAAATTGACTGGACAAAAAAAAAGAATCAAAAAAAGAATCAAAAAAACAAGAAAAAAAACAAAAAGTCCAAATTATCCCCTTTATTATTTTTCAACACCAAAATCCTCCTCCTCCTATCACTCTTTGCTTATATTGACTGGACAAAAAAAAAAGAAAAAAAAAACGGACAAAAAAAAAGATCAAAAGAAAAATCAAATGGACCAAAAAAAAACCGACTGGACTTGACTGGAACCGACTGGACTCGACTGGACTAGCATGGCCTGGAATATCTTAGTACACTTAATTTAATTTAACTTAACTTATATTCCCCTTTTAAAAATCTTTGAACAATAAATTTTGATCTCATTTGACTTTGATACTATCTTTATGTTTTTGTCTCTTTTTGATTTTGATCTTACATTTGTCTTTAAAAAATATTATTAATAATGTTTTTGGTACTACTATATTACACTTGAGAGCTGTCTTATTATACTTGTGTTCCTTGGTAAGGTAGACAAGGTGTATTTTCTA